TCAGAACCCGAAAGATGTGACAGTCGTATCAAACCTTTCGTGCCACTGTTTAGGAGCTTGTTTTAACCCGTATAGAGATTTAACAAATTTACACACTTTATTCTCTTGTCCGGGTATTACAAATCCTTCAGGTTGCTCTATGTAAACCTCCTCATTTAAATAGCCATTCAAGAAAGTTGTTTTCACATCCATTTGGTGAATATACAGTCCTTTTATGGTTGAAATTGCTATGAGAGTTCGAATGGAACTAATTCTAGCAACTGGAGCATAGGTGTCGAAATAATCGACACCCTCTTTCTGTCTATATTCTTTTTGCCACCAATCTAGCCTTGAAGGATGATATTGAACCATCAGGGTGCATCTTTCTTTTGAATATCCACTTTGAAATAATGGGTTTCACCCCTGTTGGCAAATTTGTCAGCACTCAAGTTCCATTACCCAAGATGGAGTCCATTTCATCATTTATGGCTTCTTTCCACATTGGAGCATCCCTTGAAGTCATGGCCTCTTTAAATGTCTTGGGATCCTCTTCAGTACTGATAGAGAAAATGAACTTTCTTGTCACTTTCTTTTGTGTCCCTTCTACCAAGTACGAGAAAAAGTCATTTCCCAGATTTTTCTCTTTTCTCACTCTTGTACTTCTTCGTGGTTTGCCCGCCTCTATAGAGGTTTTGGAACTAGCACGAGATGAACAACAGGGATTAGAGGCCAATGTTGGTTCTGATTTTTCAGCATCTTCTGAAAATCTATCTTCAAAGAACTCCACATCTCTGGATTCTACTATAGCCTTGTTATTTACTGCATATCCAAGGAATATGCTCTTAATAGCACGGGCTCCCAATTTAGATTTTTTTAGATCAGTAGTTCTATAGTATGCAACACATCCCCAAACCCTTAGATAGTTCAGAATTGGTTTTCTATCTTTCCAGAGCTCATATGGACTGGTTGGAATCACACGACTAGTGATTCGGTTATGAATATGACAAGCCATCAACAAGGCTTCTCCCCAGAGATTGTTAGGCAACCCTGATTGGTTCAACATCCTGTTGACCATTTCAACAAGGGTTCGGTTCTTTCGTTCTGGCAAGCCATTCTGTTGAGGAGTAAATGGTGAGGTCCGTTCATGTTTGATAACATTTTCTTTACAGAATGTATCAAATTCTCTATTAAAATATTTACCTTCACGCAGATTGAATCTATCCTTCGCGATAGATTCAATGAAAGAAAGGGGTAGAAGCAGAGTTGTTCACTTAGTGAACAGGAAATTAAATACAATGCGAGAAATATAAAACCAACTTGTTTAGATCTCTGTCGATTTGGATGATAAATTGCACGGTAAAACCTGTCCTTTAAGGTTTTATACGGCCACTCTTAAAACGCTGTGAGTCTGCTAGTCGCAAAGCCCCAGGATTTGATGCAGTAGGTGATTCGTTTATGAACAATGATCAAAACGAATATAGAGCAGGATTTATGTAGAAAACAATAGAGAGAAATAGAACTGGGGAGCAGAATTCGATGGAGAGGGAGTATCCAATTTTTCAGTGTATTTTGAGATGTCTTCAACCCAGTTTAAATACTGGTTGAAGCCACGAAAAGCTCCACGAAAATCTCAAAGTTAAGCTGATCATGGGAGGATTTTCCTCCGTGATCATTATCTAAAAACATGGATAGGACCAAGTCAAATAAACCGAGTTTTTTTATAAAAATGGGTAAATTATCTCCTTCTCCTTTCGAATTTGTACCAAAAATATACTCGGAGCTCGGGGAATTTTCGCGAATCCCGCGGCCTTGGCCACGCGCGCGCGTGTGTGTTGGGCCACTCAAGACCCCCACTATAAGTCCAACAACATGTTCAATGCCAATTTCTAGAGAAAGCCTTATAAGCTTCTCTAGAAAATAATTCTCTACCAATGTGGGATGGAAATTAAACTTTCAACCTACATATTTTCCAACAAAAAAATGGTACTAACATGATTCGAACTCGGTTTTGGGATGGAAGAAAAGTCTTACCTCTACCAAAAGAAAACTTTTTCTTATTGTAGTTTCAAAAGACATAAGGTGACACATAACAAATTAATACGGTTACACCTTTCACGAACCTAAATTTTTTTTATTCTTCGACGGAGGAATAATACAGTAACACGTACCACCGGTGGCACCAAACTTATACAACATCATGAATGTGTATGACTATCCATACATATACCTTTACTTATGATCCTTGCATGTCTATATATATTTTCTATGTCATTGTATAAATTGGGCATAACATTACTAATATTCAAATGCAGACGATAAACGATGTTCTTTTTGGAGTAATATCATCAGGGCTATCAAGATATTTGGACAAACGATCGCCAGATTGTAATCGTTTTTTTCCAACAAGTTGTTTTACGTTTTTCATTCTATTTTTATGAATCAAGATTCATATTCAAGTTCATTCTTCATTTTTACCAAGTAAATTACTTGTCTTTCTTAGCTCTTCAGGAGGGGCTTCGAATCACTGGTGTCGCCGCGGTTAATCTAAGGCCATCACCAGGACTTCAGGTTACATATGTCAACCCTCATTTTCATATAGAATTCAAAGCGCATATCATGAAATATCATATCAATATCAATCTTAATTAGTAGTTATTGCAAGAATATATGGAACCCAATTAAATTACTCTTCAAAAGGGCAGAAGGAGGTTCCAACATATATAGAGGAGAAATAGTTCAAATCTAGCCTATGTGGGACTCCAACATGCCCTCACCAACAGAGGCTAGACAGGCGCAAATTGTCACCGAATGTCAAGAGGGAGGCTAGACGACTATAAATTACCTAGAGTGGTAGAATTTGACTCTGATACCATATGAGAAAATGTGGAACCCTCAGATTTACTCTCTTCAAATGCTCTTTTGGAGGGTAAATCTAGGAGTTCCACGTATACTCACAACGATAACTATTTTTTAAATGATCATCTACAGTGTTTTTGATTAACATCTAAGATGAATTGTATTTTTATCAGGATATTAAAGAGTTGATGAAGAAAAATGCAGGATCAGGGTGGGGAAACAAGTTTGGTATTATGCTTCTACCAATTTACTACCATAGAAATGGCTCCAATCCTCTTGACTATCTGAAGAGAGCCAAGCTGATGATTGATAGAAAGAAGTTGTCTTTGGAAGCCTTTCTAACGCACCAGATTGGATTATTTGTTATGAACCATGTGGGAGCAAAGGTGAAATTATATCTTACCTCAAATATCTAAAATCCACTCGTTCTGTTTTCTAGATATTTTTACATTTTCAATACATGATTTGATCTGATTTTGATCTAAAGGGATATATACATATAACAAACCCTTTTCTTTTGTCCCATGAAAATCAAAAAAATACAGTATTTGATTTGAAATTGTTATTTGTCAAATGCTTAAAATACGATTCAATTATGTAACCGAATCAGTGTTATCAATCTTGTGTTTGCAGTTTGCAAGCTTGCTTAATTACAGGATATTTTGCAACACTTCGTTCACAGTTTCGAATGTGGTGGGCCCAAGAGAAGAGATTGCGGTCGCAGGCATCCCAGTCACGTACCTCAGAACGTCATCGTCAAGCTTATCACACGTACAAGTTTCTAAAGTTTGTGTACAAACAACATGAGCAGTTGTTTATAAAAATGTGTACTTATGGTTGTGTTGAATGGTAATGCAGGCAATCATAATGCATATGGTGAGTTATGCAGGAAGGGCCGATATGCAGATTCTAGTTGCCAAAGACATCATTCATGACCCTGAAAACTTAGCAAAATGTTTTGAAGATGCACTGCTCGAAATGAAAGAAGCCGTACTACGAACTTAAGAAAAGGGAAAATTTGCCCTTCAAAGTTGTACAAGATTTTATTCGTAGTTTGGAAAATATAAAAAAAATAGCCTTTGTATGATCAGGCAAAACAAATATATGTCACTTGGCATGAACATTTGCTTCTATTCATCTAACATTTTTACTTGGTGCATCACGTTTAAAAACCTGAAGTGACGATTAATTGTTCATCGAGTAGCAACTGCAAATTGGGCCCTATGATCAACGGATGCTAAGGGTTGATTTAACAATGTTAACCTGGTAATTAAAGTCATCCACCTTTACTTACCTAATCTAGTAAGATTCTTGATTGTTAAAATGGCATAACAAGGTTGTTGGTATGCATCTCTTATCCGATAAGTACTAACTGGGTATGATTCACTGTAAACTATTATCTGATTTTGAAATCCACATAATCAGTTTTACAATATAATTGATAGTGTGAAATCCATGTCAAAGAATATTGCAAGAGTAGCAGTTTATCAGTAGAAATAGGTACAAAATAAAAAATTTAGAAAGCTTGTGAGATCATTAATATAGAAAAATTATTTGTCGCACTAAATAACAATTAAATAAACTTTGTTGTATTTGATACAATGTAAAATAACTAAATAAACTTATCCTCAGGATCGGCAAGAAGATGGTTTGAAAGCGAGAGGGTGGAAAGTTTTAGAAGAAAAAAGGGCGTCAACTAAGATGCCATTTATCTAACGCTTACCGACAATAATCAACACTCCCATTTACTTTATAGGATAAAATTCTCGTCATGAAAATGGATTGATGGAAACCATTAATAACCACGTTAAGCATTTACAGAATAAAAGTCATCCCAATTCTCGATCCTAGCTTCTATTGGGTATAATCCTCTTGCTATGTTCATCAGGTAAGATGATTGAGCTTAAGCGCTTGCCGAGGTACGTATTTTAGCAAGTGTTGTAACCAAATATATAATGAAAAGCACCAAAACAAACGAAACAAATTATTTTAATCCCAACACAAGCAAAAGCAAGCAATCCATCAAAATGTTCAATCAACAAACAAACACTATCCAAAAACCACAAATCAATCTCTCTCTCTCTCTCTTTCTCTCTCTTAATAACCAAACTACATGAAACAGTCTTACCACAAACCTTCCTTCCATTACCAACAACTACTCGAGCTTAGGAAACAATACCATCGTTCAGAGACAAAGCAGCCAACTGGTTAGCCGCACCACCTGCTGCCTGCTGCTGCTGCTGCTGAGACACATTCCTCAACACCTCCATAGCCTCTGCAACCTTTGCTTTCAGAGCTTCAGGGGACTCCAGCAAGTGCAGAACCTCCGTCTGGTCCATCTCCAAAAGCATCCCGGTTACCTTTGCTGCTGCTTCAGGTTCCACCTGTTCCACTAGTGGGTACAGATTCTCTCCCAACATCTGTTGCAAAAAAGAAAATCCCCATTTGAAACACAAACCCACCACTCATATATATATGAATATATATAGATAAAAATGCATACCGTCCTCTGTTCTGTTGGAGAAGCATTTGCAAGTGCAGAAGCTAAAGCACCGATCGGGATTGGTTGCGAGATTCCAGCCTCACGCAATGCCATGCCTCCACCCATATCATATGGAACAGAAACCATGCCTCCACCTCCAAGACCAGTCATCGAACCATCAGGGACGTTACGACCAGGGGGGTAACGATACACCCTTCCACGTGGAAGCATCTACAATTGTAATCAACACCCATTCAATTAAACTCGCTTACCGTCAAATAATTGGAAAACAAAATATTGATCAAATCGAGACCTGTTGCTGCATAAGGGGAACTGGCTGCTGGTTCTGTTGCCCAGGACCCGCAGCACGTCTGCCACCAGGGCGCTGTCCTTGCTGACCTTGCTGAACCATTGGCATAAAGAAGTTTGGCATTGGACCCCCACCTGGCCTCATACCTGGTACAAGTTGCTGCTGATACCCAAAACCAGGCTATCCAAGATAATAAAAAGGTAAGTCGGTTGAAGCAGCATAAAAGACAGGCAACAGACAGCTTTAAGGACTAGAAAGCCCATATAATGCAGTCATGAACTGTGTACAGCATATCTGATCTAAGATTTTAAACCGAATTTAACAACTGGAAGCAATTCTTGCAGCTATTTATCAAGTATAGGCAAAATAAGAATCATGGAAGTGGGATTACTTGGGGAGGAATGAATGTAGGCTGAGCTTGACCATAGAATATTTGTTGCCCTAGACCTGGACCACCAGGGGGGTACATCGGCATACGAGGTGCTACAGTAGGTGCCATAGCAATTGGCCGCATCTGTGAGAACTGTGCCTGCATAGAATAAGGACAAAGAGTCACCAACTATTTAAGCATATACTCCCAGCTCAAAAGGGAGTGTACAACCTTGATCGGGTAAAAAGTCATGTGCCCAAATTCACTAAACTTCATAACCTACATATGGATGTTGGTTACATTCATCAACTGTTTTTCATCATCTAGTGACGTATGGAACTGTCCTAACATATGCTCTTCCTAGAATGGAATCTTATAGTCCAATCATGTATATTAAAATGTCTAATATATTTCAGCTAATACAATCACACTATCTTGACCCTTTCCGTATTTTTGTGCATACAAACCCATAGTCATCCAAATGTCTCATGGAAGATGATGCTAAAAAATACGATCTCTACTTTTATCATCTTGGTTATATGTAACGGAAAAGGTTTGGTAGTTCTGTAGTTGCCTTGTCTACTAGAATATACATCTTATTTGCTACCTCAGTTTAGATTCTACCATATTTTACCCCAAGATCATGTTTCTCAATGTACCAAGAGCAATGCAACACTATGAATTACGTTGCTATTATATTTGTACCTAATAACGATAATCGAGTATAATGTTAACAATCTCACTCTGACATGACACCAATTTGAGCCGCATCATCTACTATATGGTAATGACTTACTGTTGCCATTGTTGCAACCAAGTCAATGGCATACTGCATAAGAAGACGTTATGAACATACCTGCAACCTTGCCCTTCTATCTTCCTTGCGTTGTGCAAGTGCAACATAAAGAGGCTTGCTAGCAACCATCTTCCCGTTCATCTCAAAAAGCTTTAAAACAGGGAAAAGAAAAAGTTAGCATTTTACACAGAATTTAGAAAATAACAGAAGAATTGATGAAATCATGGAGATATGTTTACTTACTGCTCTAGAAGCTTCCTCAGAAGTTGAAAATGCAACAAAACCAGATCCTTTGCTTGTTCCATTAGGATCCCGCATAACCTGTTAAAGAAATACAAATATTGGGGCTAGTTCAAATATCCAGTTTCCAAACATAATGTGCAAGTAGAATAAGATACTTTCAGACCCACAAACCTTGAATGAAGTTATAGTACCATAAGGGGCAAACAGTTCCTTCAGGTTTTCATCGTCAATTGTATCATCTAAATTTTTTATGTACAGGTTTAGCCCTTGTGATTTGTCCACTGCCTCCTTCATAGCCTGCTCAAATCGTTGTTTTAGTTCCTGTTCCCTCTCATGTTTTTTCTGGGCTTTTCCTACATACCACTCCTTATTATCAAACTTCTGACCATTAAGAGCATCAACTGCTTTAGCAGCATCCTCGGCATTCTCGAAGTTAACAAATCCAAAGCATTTGGAGTTTCCATCAGCATCCCTCATCACAACAGCACTTGTGACAGTTCCATACTCACTAAATACCTTATTCAACTCCTCATCTGTTGTCGATTCAGATAGATTTTTGACATATACATTAGTAAATTTTGTCTTGTCCACGGCCATTTCTCTTTCTTGCTTGCGCAAAAAGGGTCCCACATACACTTGTTTGTCATTCAGGAGCATGCCATTCAACTTCTCAATAGCTTTTTGTGCAGCGTCCTCACTGTCATACTGCACAAAACCATAGCCCTTTGATTGACCAGTTGAATCCGTAGCTATCTTGCAAGAGAGAATGTTCCCAAAAGTAGAGAAGGTGTCATGCAGTGCCTTCTGGTCGATTGCCTTATCCAAATTCTGTTTTACTCAGATTGCCAACAAATGTCAGTATGTAAAGAAGAGCATAAGTAAGTAGACAGAGCAATTGATACAAGAAGATCTATATACCTTGATAAATATATTTCCGGAGCCACTTTTGCGGACGCTAGGATCTCGATGAGAATACATTATTCTGATCGCCTTGCCATTCAGAGGTGTGAAGTTCAGCACCTCCATTGCCCTTGCAGCTGTCATCAACATAATAGAAAAAGCAAGGGGTGATGCTTTCAATTTAAACCCTTGTTCATAAAGACTAATCTGCTCCAGTTAAAAAATAAAAACATTTTCTCTTCTCATACTCATGCTCAGTTTTTCATTTTTAGGTGGAAAGGGAATGCTCATAAAAGACATTGAAAGAAAAAATAGATAAAGAAAGGAAAGAGGACAGCAAAATCTCAATTAGCGATAAAAACACACAAATGCAACACAAAATCACAACAGTAATGCAAGATTTACCAAATGATTTCATGAATTATTATTCTATCACTCTTTCTAGAATCAGAATAGTTCTTTCCTTAAAAGATCTTGTTTACAAGTAAATTCTGTAACGATTTTATTGCCCATTTGATTGAAACATAAGTTCCATCCAGGAATAACTTATGGTGGTATTTAAACGAGTGACCTTACACCAAAAAAGTAATTACTTAAACTAAGGGTCTAAGCCTGAATAGATTGATATATGCCAACAATAACAAGAGTGGGATTTTTCATTAACCAATGTGATAATTGACAGCCTACGACCAGACGGTGAACAGACTTGAAGAAAAAGAGATGCCATTAAATTCAACAAGAATCACATGCAGTTGTATTTATGACAAAGAACAATAGAAAACCTTAGCATGACAAGAAAGAGCAAGTAAATACTAAGCCCGCTCTAATTTTCCTGGTATGATTTAGTCCTGGTCCTAATCGCTAACCACTTGGAATAGCTTTGAGATGTTATTGTCTTCTGCCTCTACTCAACTATTTTAAATGAATTGTCAGCTTTTAAGGTATGTATGTTTTTAAAGAACATATACACCATTTTTTGGATTTTAGCGAAGTTGTCAACAGGTATCAGCCTATCGGATATTTAGTATAGGCACAACACAATACTAGAAGAAATTGCATATTGCATTGGGCTGATTAACCGATGTTGAAACGACGCTTCTATTGAACTGTTTGAATTAATTACTTAAAGAGTTGGAACAAGTGACAACAGTCGGTTTTTCACCACATCTAAACCACTGAATTTAAGCACCTGTACAGCTGAAACAAATAAAGATGCCAAACAAAGTGAATCACCCATAAACCATAATATAGCAAAAGCACCCCCTCTCTGTTGACTATTGATTAGTTTATCACCAAATTGTCAGGTGAGGTAATAGATCCTATGGTTCTAAGTATGTTATTTTCCACCTGCCCAGTCCCTCGGCTGCATGCTCTTAAATTAAAAGAACAGTTATCTCATCCAGACATCTGTTTTCCTGAAATTTGAACCTAATACCCATTGCGCTAACACTCGATGACAACCCTCTTACAATCCCAAATTACATGCTAACTTATCTCATAAGTATTCACTTCCAGGAAAATCAATCTCAAACTTCAGATTCTAACCATAAGCAACTTCTTGGTGTGGTTCATTTTAGTTATCTAGAACTTTTTCTAACCTACTTCAGACCTACTTCTAGTACATGAGCGATGAGCCATAATGCAAGAAGTTTCTTTTCAACGTGGCCAACACAGTTAGGGGCTGTTTACCAAATGCTTACTCGGATAAGCGTTTACCAAGTCACATTACCTCACCAGATGAATATGGCAAGGACCAAGAATTTTACCCGGTAAGAGAAAGGCAAGGACCGAGAGTCTTACCCAGTAAGTAATGGCGACGACTCTTACCATGATTAGAGCTTATTGGGTAAGTTGTTACATATAATGTCGTTTTGGTAGACTAAAATCTTATCACGTAAGTAAGCGATAGCGTTGAATTTTACCGTTAAGCGCTTACCGGGTAAGTGTTTAAGTAAACGGCCCCTTAGTCTAAGGGAAAATAAAAAAAACTAAAAGAAAAACAAACAAACCTAGTGAAACTCACACGAAGTAGGGTCTAGGGAGAGTATGATTCATGTTCATAGTAGGCCTTACCTACCTTGAGGAATAGAGTGTGTGTTTGCATTAAGACTCAAGAGTAGAGTCGGGTGTCAAATCTTTAAGCAACATTATGTACATTCTGGAAGTAATTTTATGTTTGTCCTCTATTTTTTTAAAAATTATTCACTTAATATGTAAAATAATATTATTAAAAAAAATGTTATTGTTAGCACCAACGTTTTAATAGGCAGCCAATAAATTACAATATTTCAATTTATCTGTTAAATTGAAATTTTAATTGAAAGTGTTTTAACACTTTGAATGCTAAACACAAAAAAAAACTGGAATTTAAATCCCAAGCAAAGATTCTTAAAAACGAATTTAAATAGGAAATACCTTGTAAAAAAACCTATTATTACAAATTTCCAATATGTCAAAAAATATCCTATGGCCCTCGTTCCATTATCCATGTGACATTCACGTATTGCAAGCCACATATAGCTTTGTGCTCCTTGAAAAGAAATTAGCATACGCTATTGAATAGAATTGCTTCTACTTATTATAGTTCTAATGACATTACATGTTTTTTATTGCAAGTAAAACATATAAACCTTCAAGAACCCGAAGCCTATGCTTTTTTGAATCCGATCATAGATGTTATGCCAGTAATACCCCTGTTCTTTTCTTTTAGCATTTGTTTAGCAAGCTGCTGTAAGTTTTCGATAAGATCTTTAATACTATCCTAGAAAATTAATGAAGTTAACCCTTGGTGCAACCGTAAAGGTCGATCGTCAAACTGTAAGTGATGCAATGTCCAACATTTTATTAAGCAAATAAAGTACCAAACACTTGACCAAATCAATTATTCGGACATCATCGAGCAATCGCTCAGACCAAATATGATCCCTGAACAGCGGTTTTTTGTTTGAAAATACCAACATTTAGGGGCCGTTTACCAAACACTTACCCGGTAAGCACTTACAAGATACATTTACCATGACAATGACCTACCCAGTAAACGCGATGAAGCATGATGACAAGGACCAATACTCACTCTTACACAGTAAGTGAGGAAGATCATTCTTACCCGGTTAGTGCTTACCGGGTTGATTGTGGCATATGATGTCGTTTTGATGAACTAAAACGTTAGTCTGTAAGGTAAGTGATAATACTGAATCTTGATGATTAGCGCTTACCGTGTAGGTGATTGGGCAAAACGGCCCCTTAGTACTTTAATACATAATGTTGACTATGGTACAAATAACTTGAGTGACTCAGACCCTACATGGTTATTTTGCAAGCAATATGGTTTTCACGCAAGTCCGCTACCACGATATGAAGAACATTAGCAACTCTAAAGTTTTGGCAACATTAGAAGTTAGAAATGAACAATAGCAAAAATTTATACAGAACTAACCATCTTGAGGATTTGCGTAGTTGACATAACCATAACCAAGCGACCGTCGGGTCGACAAATCCCTGCAAACTCGAACAGAAACCACCTGACCTAGTTGGTTAAAGAGATCATACAGTTGAGAATCAGTTACGTTCCACTCGAGATCCCCAACATACAATGAAGTCGGCACAAACTGCTGAGCGCCGCCAGGAGCGGCAGCACCGACACCAGCACTCACTGCCTGAGGTTGAACTTGAACCTGAGCCGCCATCTCAAAACCCTAGGGAATGATAACCTCTTTTCCCCAAATAAATTTCTGATTTTTTTGGCTTTTTTAACTTCCCTCTCCCCTTATTGATATAAATCCAAACCTAGATAGATAGATAGCCTGCAAATCAGAAAAAATTTCGACTCCGAACAAAGCAAACCGCAGAAACCCTAGAAATTATCGATTTTTTGTTTATGCTTGTTTTTTGTGTTGTTTCTGAATAGAAAATAGAGATAGAGAGAGGAGAGGAGAGGGAAGGATATGAAATAAGGATAGATTAGTCGGATAACCGACCAGAGATCCGGTAGATCGCCGCCTGTGTACGGCGGAGGACGGTGGAGATAGAGATGGATAGGTTGAGAGTACAAAGTTGGGATCGGAGGATTTGGGGGGGCAGATGAAAAGTGGTCGCTGCAAGTTGAGGGCTTTTGAGACGCGTGTGTTATAACTGGGCCCGGGGGTTGTGTGTCATAGTGCAAAACCCTACCAGGTGGAGGAAAGATCTCCACCGTTGGATCTGTTGACAGCTGGGCTTATGACCCCACTTTTACTTGGAAAAGGTCTACTCTCAGCAATCAAATAAAATGATCCACCCTTATTTTAGAGTAATTTACAGATTTAGTCCTTACGGTTGTATGAAAATTTATGAAAATAATTACCGATGTGGTTTATTTTTGTTAAGCATTAACTTTATTTCCGTTAAGTTAACAATGTTTTTGGTTTTTGTATTCGTTACTTCAAAATCATTTTACATACCCAATTATAAACTGACATGCATCACTTTTCATCCCAAAATCAATACCTTTGATTGCGTTTTTCACTGATCACTAAGGGCTTGTTTGTTTTAAAAAAAAAAACTCTTAATACCTCTTAAGTCTGAATCGGTTAGACGTTTTTATTTTCAGACCGTTTGATTTTTTTTTAAAATAAGAGTTGAAAAGCTCTTATTGTCCTCTGAATTTTTAAGTGGTAGTCTAAACTCTTAATGGGCTCTTATTCACACACCATATCGATTTCTCGTTTTCTCGCTTGATTTCCAGCTACCAAATCATACTGATCTATCCCACATCATACGATCTAGACACCATATCGATCTCTCGCTCGGTCTCAAGCTACCAATCTATCCAAAACGATCTCTACAAATCGATCTCTCATATATATGAGTTATTTTCTGAGTATGATCAAACCAATGAGCAAGGGATGATGGCGACACAATTAATGCAATATGAATATTGATTCTAGTCATTATGAGACTTTTTTCGTGTTTATATTGATTCAGATTTCAGACTTCAGACGTAAAAACAAACAGTCTGACTGATTCAGATTTCAGACTTCAGACGTAAAAACAAACAGTCTGACTGATTCAGATTTCAGACTTCAGCACCACCTCTTATAAATCAGAAATGAAATCAGACTTCAAACTTCAGCACCTCTTAAAAAACAAACACCACCTAAGACTTTCACCACCGACACCGCTGATATCTGGTGGGAACTCACTATTCTCACCACTACCATTACTAATTTTCCAACAAAATGACTCAAGAATTCATCTACATTACTTATCTCGATATTGATAAAAACCAATATCAAATGGGTTGATTTTATGCAAGGTTGCAAAAGACCAATTTCTACGAATCAAAAACAAAACAAAAAAGAACAGTTATACAACACCAATAACAACAAATCAAATTTCTACAAAATCCACAATAAACAACACCAACAAGATTGATATTACAAAATCATAAAGCAAATCCCCATATGGAGATGGTGTCTATATCTTGTACCGTATGGGGAGTATAGATTGCGGTGTAGATAGGGAGTCCGAAGTGGCATAGAGAGGAAAGAGGAACGCTAGTGCAAAATGTGGTGGAGTATAGTGGGGTTGTTTTAATCGTGTAAGTATAATGGAATTCCCCGCTAAACCGGGTCCCAAGATCCCCGGTAGGCTCAAACTGGTGTTGGGACCGGAGTCGGGTAGAGTATCCCCAACCCGCCCTGTACCCGATATATAATTTAATTAGTTTATTTTAGTAACAATTGATTTGAGAATTTAGACTCTACGAGACCACGATAAGTCAACCGCTTCTTCACATAATCACGTTAACTCTTCACTTAATCACGTTCACTCTTCACTTCACCAGAACAATAGGGTCGGGGACCAGGTCTGGAACACGGAACGGGAGTTTGACTGGGGTTAACCGTAAAAGAAACCGGGGATAGGATGCTAATCCTCGTACCCGCTGGGGACCATGGCCATTAATAGAAACCTAGGCAGGGGCCGGGGAATGTAAAACCTGTTCCATCTATGCCCTGTTGTCATGCCTAGACGAACACCATAGGAGAAAAGGAAGAGTTTTGGGTTGGGTTGCAGGTGTGAAGGTTAGGGTTTGATCGGAAAAGTCGTGGGAAAAGTCGCAACTCTCTATTTCAGCAAAACAACTTTGGGGATGCGAGCGACTTTTCCCACAACTAAAGTCGTAGGAAAGGTCGCGGGAATGCCCAAATCAGGATAAAACACCATTTTTAGCTAGGGTTTGCTCATTCTTCAAGTTCTTAACTTCTCTCTCGATTTTGGGCCTCTTTGGAGGCGATTTTGGAGATTTTAGGTTGCATCTTGGAGCATTTGGGGTGTTTATTGGAAGCAATAAGAGCCTTGTGTTTAGAGGGTCGAAGTCACCATTTAGTGCTTTATATTTCAAGCTCTTGAGAGCTAAATTTCTTGAGTATCTGAGCTTTATACTTGGGGTCATTGTTGGATTTGAAGCTAGGATTTATGTTTGGTAGATTTCTACATATGGATTGTGGTCTTGAGAAGATTCTTGGAGATCATTGCTTACTGACATCAAGCTTTCGCCTTTGGAGGTTAGATTTTGAGTTTGGAACCTAGGTTTAACTTAACCTAGCAAGGTGAGTTCAAGTTACTTTGTGAAAACTTTGTACATACAAAAAATGTCCATGTTTTGAAGTCATAAGGTTTTTTGCTTCATGTTTATCAAATGTGTGGCTTATTTGATGAGATTGGCATTTTTAGTACATTTGATTTTATAAATCTCGTAAAATGTGTAGGGGTTTTTGGATATTTATAAATAAATTATATTTTTGGGGTTTTTTTGATATTTTGTAAATAAATTATGAGAACGGGTTCTTTTGATGATTTATTTTACAAATGGAGCTTATTTGACGATAATGCAATTTAGTATATTTGGATTGGATAATGCACTTTATTATATTATTAGACATTTTGGAAATACCGAAATATAAATAGTACAATTTCAATTTGAAATTGTTTGTCCCAACCAATGATGGGTTTTTTTTAGTTAGTCATATTTTTAGAACATGACTATGCTAATTTATTAATCATTGGCATCTTATTGCTCATGTTAACCTTTATTGATTAGTGAAATGAGTTGTTGAGTATTTAGTTTTGTGTTGATTCAGATGAGTTTTAGGGGTTTAGGGTCCAATATAATTTGCTCAAGCGTTAAGCTTTGAAATATGATATGCAATATGACATGTTTATTTGAAAATTACATGTTTTGAGTGTGTTGATCATTCAACTGGAGTAATGTAATTTAGATTGTAATGCAGTTGATCCGTAGAAATAAGAATCAGTTTGTTGGTTTTAAAATTGGATCATTATCCCTATAGTGTAGCTAGAAATATCTAGGATCAGCGGAGGACTCAAGGTACAGACCATGAGTGGTTGAACTTGATTATTATGTGATCCATAGAGAAGGACTCAAGGTACAGAAAGTGGGTGGCTGAACTTGATAGTTGTAAGGCCATAATGGCTATAATTTCTAGTGAATGATCACCAAGCAATGATTTTGAGAGCTTTCGGTGGTATCCTACTAGGTCGTATACGAAGCTAATAACCTACGGTGGTACTCTATTGAGTCGTATACGGGGCTAGGTCTTGCGGTGGTGCTCATTAGGGCTGTATATGGCGAGCGGTAACTTTTGTGGTGAGATTCATATAGAGGATGAATAGATATCTTAGTTGCCGCCATGACTTGCGGTGGTACTCATTGGAGTCGTATGTGGAGCTTGGGTCTTGCGGTGGCTCTCGGTAGAGTTGTATACGGAACCCAATAACCTTGAGTGAAACTTGGTAACATTGATGAATGACTTACTTTGTGTTTCGTCACGATCGATGGAAACAAGTCCAACCCCATCACCAAAAGATGTTGTTTTGGGTATTGAGTATTATTTGTTTTTTTGTGACGTTTTGAGTATGGATTGTTATCCGTGATTTGTGGTTTTGGGCATTGAACCCTATCTATGTTTTTGGGTATTAGATTTTTATCCATATTTTTAGTATTTGAATGTTGAACTTTATTCATGTTTTTTATGAGTATTATGTTTGGTTTCAAGTTAAAAATGGGAGTGTTGGTCATCGAGTTTTTATCACGAAAATGATAGTTTTTGGGAAAGATGTTGCTTTTACATTAGATACATTTCATTTGAGAAATCATGGTTTTAAGTGGCAATTTTTCAGTTTTACCGTTCTATATTAATGATGAAAATTGCTTGAGCTCATAGATGCTAAAACCTAAGTTGGTATGTGAATTAGATCCTTGTTCAGGAATGATACTAGCGACACCGTGGTGAGTTGAGTGCTAGTTAGAGCACGAGAAAGATTTAGCTATTTAGAGACACCATCAATGTTTTGGAGATAACGACTGTTGTTGGGTTTTAGTAACATTTATCCGTAATTTAGACTTTATGTAAGGTTTGGTTTATCTTTTGTTGGTGTTGAATTCTATATTGCCATTATAGGTAATCAAGTGTTGATCTATAGAAATGAATTTATTCCTTATTTGATGTTGTGATAACCGGGTTCCGGTTATATAATTTGAGGTAATTATTTGGTAAGTGATTATTTGGTTTAAATGATTAATTGTTTATTAAAATCCATGATACATATATGTGTATATGTATATTTGTGTGTGAAAAGGGGCAAGGAGTTTTAAATAATAAATCCACCGCCTGTTTTGGAAAGTATTTAAGGTGGAAATTTTTTGAGAAGGCATTTTAGTTGCCATTTTTGGAAAGAAAAGTAAGGAGAGAAATTTGTGTGGAGAAAAACTGTGAAGTGACTTTGTGATCATATTTTTTTGGATCTTTTGCTGTGTGAATTTGCTAAGAATAGGAACTAATTCCTTGCATAGAAGGGGAGTTTTATAAAAGACTTTGAATCATAATATAGTGCTATACATGATGATAGTTAAGATTAGAACTGTTGTATGTATATATCATATTGTTCAAATGCATGGTCTGATGAGGACTCTTATTAGACATTGTGTTGTCTGATGAATGATTTTTATCGCACATATGCTATCCGATGAGGACACTTATCAATTTTAGTGTTGTCCGATAAGGACCTTTATTGGACAAAGC